TTATGTCAAGGGTCTATGGTATAACAACATACTATCAGGAGGCATCACCAACCAATCTGTCACTCCACTACAAATCATGATACGCTGTTAGCTTGTACAAAAATTTGTGATACACTGATAACTTGTGCTGTAACACATGACACGTTGCTTCTAAATGGTAACTTTCAGATGACGATAAGAATGCAAATCGTTACCTTGGGATTTGTAGTTTTATGGCACCATTTTCTCTAGTATTGATTATGTCAAAGGTGGGTCCTTTTTTGAATCTGAATAGGTTTCTTCTTTCTCTTAAGTCACTTTATTTCCCTTTTTAAGCAATCTCTCTCAAAATCTATTTTCATCAAGTTCTCCTACTCTTAAGGTCTTCTTAGATATCAAAAATGGAGCGAGTTCTATTTGCTTTAATTTCTATTGAAAATGCACTAAAAGCTTCAAATAACCCCGACACTCCCATCTTCATTCAAGCAAATATCGCCTTTATAAATATTATAACTTCCAAATTTCCAAAACCAAAATTTTCATTTTTAACTTCATATAAAAACATTGTTCATAAAACCCATCTCAAGAAATTCACAAATGTCAAATACAGATCATCATCAAAGTATCACAGTGTCCCAAAATATCTAGAATCATAAACTGTAGATGAAAGTGTACAATCAAACCTTCACCATCCCGCAACCCTCAAAAGTACCTGAAACACATTTAATCAGTAACTGTAACCAAGAAGAATAGTGAGTTCCCAAAAATACCACATACAACACAACACAAAATAAAAAATTATGGGTTATCAGCAACCCTGGAGACTACTTGAAGTTTCAGTGGGCAAAAAGCATGCCCTGTAGGTTATCAGCAACCATGGAGACTACCCGAAGTCTCAACTCACACAGTAACATATATCATAGTAATAACACATAGATTGAGTTGGTAAACATATATATATATATATATATATATATATATATATATATATATATATAATATATATATATATATATATATTCTACCGCAGATGTAAGAATAGTGAGGAGAGTCATCTCGTATAAATAACTAATAGAACTCACACATGAATTGCCGGAACTAGACTCCGTCCAATAATTATACCAGTTAACATTAATTAATAACTAAGGTAAATTTCTAAAGGTTTTTAACAATTGGTTACGCCTCATGTAAAAAAAAGAACAAATTTAATGAGCAATTAACGAACAGAAAACTAAATAACATAGAAGATTCACTAAATTGTCTTTCCCCAAGAAAGAGGTTGTCATAAAGACGGCCATAAAGATTACAACACCATGTCGTTGGTTACATTAGGGTTTCACCATAATGTTGAATAAATACTAATCTAAACAATTATATCCCTTGTTTAAAAGGATTCTATCTAATCTATATTAAGAACCAATCCTTATAACTAAGATATCAGATCTGCTATCTATAACACCCCGTTTTCCGTTTAAGTAATTTATAATGGAAAGTAAATATAATTACAAATTAATAATAATAATAATAATAATAATAATAATAATAATAATAATAATAATAATAATAATAAGATGATCATGATGAGATTTACAGGGGTTTTATAACTATTTGCTAAAGAAAGGACTGAATTTGATAGCTTTGAAAATCTTATATTGCAAAGATAATTGTTTAGAGGGACCAAAACTGCCATTATGGGAAGTTTGGGGTAGAAAATGGAAATTCAGTTTTAAAGCCCATAAAATGGATAGGGAAATTGGTGTGGGGCTGATTTATTAACGTCTTCTCTTTTCTTAGCCCTAGAATCCCAAATATTTAATTCTTGAAGCCCAAAATCCTTTTTTTGGGTTTGTGTGGTTTGTGCTTGTTATCTAGAGAAAAAGAACAAGGAAAGGCCGTTGATTGGAGTGGGAGAAAGAAGAAGAGTCGATAAGGGAGGCTGTAGGAACTTTTTTTGCAAATTTCTCATGTGGTACAAGGTGTTTTTGGGCTGTTGGTGTTCATCCTTAAGAGTAAACTTCCAACCTCATTTCTTTCTTTTCTTCTTGACTTGTTTCTTCCCAAATCACCACCACCACCACCGTGACTGCCATCATCTACTTCAACCACACACCACTGTCAATCACCACACCCCACTAAGGAAAGGTGATCGTGGGTGGTACCCTTGGATTATAAGCCTTAGACCTTGGGATTATTGGATAAAAACATAAACCCTGAAAATGGTGCTTTTACCATTTGGACATCTTACTTTGGTTTTGGAGATTTATTAAACATTGTTTGGGTTATTAGACCATTAAGACCTATAATTTACCTAAAATATATGATTTTATCTGTGTTATAGTTATTTCCATTAGGAGCTTAATGGGTTAAGTTGTCAATTAATCTAAAGAGAACAAGCTGTGATTTCAGGATTTTACCCTAATTTGTCCATATCTTTGAGAGATCATATCTCGATCATGAGAAAACCTTTTTAATCGAAACCAAATCCTAGAGTTTCTTTTTTGAGTCCTCTGCAATTCATCAATTTTGACTGAAGGCCAGAAATGCCTTTAACTAGCGTGAAATAGACCATTTACCCAAACTGATCCGTAATGAACTGTTCTACGAGGCAATTTTGTAAAATCGCCAAAAATTGTAGAATAATCGTATAGAGGTGTGCGAATACTAATTTTAAAGCTAAGTACCTGAAGTTCATGCATATAAAATGGTTTTGAAAAATAATATGTTTAAGCAGGGGGTGGGGGAACTAGTCCCGAACAGACCATAACTTCTATGTATAAATCTGAAAAAAAAAATAACCCATGAGTCATTGTACTTTTGAGATATCAAAGGACCATAACTTAACTCTTTTTTGTCATTATTAGGAAATGAAGGTTGATCTAGTGTGAAGGGGTGTTTGGATTATTTGAAGGATGTTTGACTACTTGAGGTGAGTTCCTCACTTCATACCTTTAGGGTATTGCATGCCTACTGTTAGGTCGGGTGGGACTAGGAACTATATGATTTCTAGTTAAATAATAATTATGGCATGTGTTATGTTTGATGTACTTATTTGTTATGTGAAATTTATATACGTTATATGTTTGGGCTCAACGGCTGAATACCGAGTCGATATGTTTGGGCTCGTTGGCTGAATACCGAGCCGACTAACTGAAGGCCATTGTGCCAAGTCAGGGGACCCAAGGCGGAGTTGCCAAGTATGTGGACTCGACGGCTGAATACCGAGTCTTTATTTGGGTGTTGTTTGGGATGTGTTCCCAAATAGACACGAGATGTATGATCTTGATGTTTATATATTATATGGATGCTTGCATATTTGTTGATGGCATGGAATGTAGGAGTAGGGTGTAATACTTCTATTGTAAAATGGTTATTACATGTACATTTGTTGATGGCATGGAATGTAGGAGTAGGGTGCTTGCCCTTTCCTTTATAAAATGATTATTACAGGTACATATGTTATGAATGAGGCATTAGCTTGACTGTACACTGGCGCGGTTGAAGATTTGATCCTTGTCAAAGACTCTTGATATGGGATTTTAAGAATATTAGTTTTCCGTTGTTGTTTTGAAGTATAAACGGATTAATATTGTTGAAAGTATGTGTTGATTTTGAAATGTTATTTGAACATTTTAAACTTAACAATTTTGCTTAATTAATGGATTTAATGGTTTTTATTATAAATATAAATGTTTTCAAAAGTTTAAATTTATTTTAATTTTTGGGACATCACAATTGTATACTTATCTATATCATTACGTAATATACAAAAGATTACATAGAATAAGTATCCTCACACTGACCCTGATAGACTTGATACACTGATGTTGATAGTGATGTACACACTAACATTGACAGATAACATGTAGAGTGTTTGACTCATCAGATCATAAGGTGTGACCTTGAAATCTCCCCTATCTGAGATGTCAAAACTAATCTTCTTTTTCAGATTTATCAGAAGAACCGTTGTAGAACTTATCAGCTTCTTTGAAGATCTCAGACTTAACCAACCTGAATTCATCAATTTGAAGGTCTTCCAATATTTGACTTAGTTCAATAGGTATTAGCACACGACGTCCTCTTTCCAGTTCAAAATGACTAAGTCGTTCCAGGAGAAGATCAAAAAAACGTTTAGTGGGAGCAGCAGGAAGATCGTCATTGTGTTAAAAGCACATGTGATTTTGATTGTCAAGATAGAAAATTCCATGATTTGGTTCTTGAATGAACATGTATTGAACTGGTTCAACACCTGATGGTAGTTCATTGTTGATGTACCTAATTCCATAAGGAAGAAGAAACTTTGTATTCTTGGACTATCTAAAAACACCTGTTTTTCCTGAGGAGGATGGTCTAGATGGGCCAGATGATGGCACAAGTTTCAACTTCTTGACTTTATTGAGGAGCTACTGAATTGCCAACTTCATCTCCTGAGTATGAATTCCCCTGTGTTTGTCAATAATTTCTTGAATTTGCATCCACTCAATGTAGACAAATTTAACTAGCTTGTGAGTAAATACAACCTCAGTATATTCATGTTCAGCCTTTTTTCTAACCAAGTGAAGCTTCAGATATTCATTCCTTGGTTTGGTGCATGTTAATTTTATAATGGGATTAGGCTTTGTTCTTCGAGTCAGAACATATCCAAACTTATTTCCATGGATCCTATCATTCAGCTATGAAACCCTGTGTTTTTTGTCAATAATATTATTGAAGAGCTTAATTTTATTGACTTAATCAGTAGTGCATTGAACATTAGCACTTTCTTCAACGGAAGCAAGAGATTGAACAAGTTTGACAGATAGATGTTCTCTTTTTCTAGATTCTTTCTATTTCCGAATAACAACATTGTTCTCTATCATGATTTCTCTTACTTCATCAAAAGTTATACCCCATATTTTAGCCAATTCATTCAGATCAAAGATATGATTGCTTTTCTTTGAAGGAGGTGCTGAAGGATCACCAGCAGTAGAAGAACTTCTAGCTTCAGCATCATGAGCCCCCACTTAGAAGGAAGCCTTCCTCTTTCAAGGATTGATCTGATCATTATCAAGCTCAATGGCTCTATTAATTTCTTGAGGAACCTCCTCCTCAAAGTAAGAATCAAGGTAAATAACATTCAAAGGAACATCGGGAACAACAACTTGTGGCATGAATCTAACATCAAGAAACCCTTCATAGTCATTGATATTTGATTGATCACCAGTGTCTGGAAAGGGCTGATTATCAGTTTTACATAAGCATTTGGAATGTCAGCAACAACAATCATATTTTGATAATTTACTTCAACCCTTCTCGGCTCAAACATCTCAGGATGAGATGGAGTTGGTGCAATCACTACCATTTTCATTTGCTGATAAGGTCTCTCTTGATTATTCTCCCCTTTTTTACAACATTAGATTGAAGATGAGAACCTGAAGGTGATGAAGGAGTGTGAGGAGGAGGATGAGATGGTGGAGGAGGAATAGATGATAGAGGTGGATATGGAGGATGATTATTACCTGGAGAATTTGGTGGGGTGTCATCAATAACCATATCATTAGTATCATCATCATCCAAAGCCATAAATCTCTTCATATAAGCCACATCCTATTTAACTTCATGCAATCTTTTTTCTAGCGATTGACTTATTTTCACTAGAAGAGAAAGTTGAGAGAGTACAGCTGTTTCAAAGTTGGAGCTTGATTCCCCTAGATAAATAGTAGTAGTATGAATAGGTGTTGGTATAGGAGGAACAATCTCAACTTGAGGAGAAGGAGATGCTAATCTTGGAGAAACCTCATCTTGGATTATTTTCTCAGTGGTTACCACAAAAGGTGGGGTTGATCCATATTATGTAGCGTCACATGTATATAGAGTGGATGAAGAAGTGGTGGAAAATCGAATGTTCTTGTTCACCCTTTAAGGATAGGTCATTTTCTTTATCAGTGTCTTCATCGGTGCTTTCTTCAGTTTTATTCTCATCATACTCTTCTTTAGAGTCAAAGGATTTAACCACATATGGTTTGTCAATCCATTTTTGCATCGTCACAGTAATATGTAAGTCATCTTTACTAGGAGTAGAATTAATGATCTTTGAAGATATGGAAGGAATTGGAATGATAATCCCATGACTTACAACATAGCCTACCTTACGAGCTAAGATCAGTCCATGTCAACAGGGATAAGGAACATACACTGGCTTCTTGTTCCTAATGATGCAATATATAACTTGATCAAGAAAAACTTGAGAAAAATCTAGTTTTTTGTTGTACATGATAGAAAATAATATCCTTTGTTCAAAGAGATTTAGTTGATCCATACTCCTAGTCTTGTGTCCAAGACACTTGCCAATGAAACATGTTAAATACTTCCATCCTACACTAAAACACTAATGAAGAGTGTTTTTGTTTGGATCACGAGTGACGCCCTAAAGGTTGAAATTATACCCTAATTTTTCACGAACAGACTTGCACTTTTCCTCCAAGGGAGTTTTAAAGGAATTTTCAAATCAAGGAAGAAGAAGAGCAGTTCTAAAATCTTACAAAAAAGTTGTAATCTATATTTACCATCTCCAATGGTTCCAATAATATTTTCAGCATCAAAATCAACAAAGCATGAATAAAAGAACTCACATACTTGTTTAGCCTAGAATGGGTCTAGGAAGTCGCATAATGTATATCTAAGAGGACATCACTTGTAACACTCAAAATCCAAAACGACAAGAAAGGAAAGGAAAACTCCAAGGAAAGAAAAGAAACTCGTCGAGTCTGGAGAACCGACTCTACAAGTAGGAGCAGATTTTGAGTCGCGTCTTAAGTGACCTACTCGATGAGTTGGAGGACCAACTCGGAGAGTTGGTCTGGGTTTGGGAAACCCTAAATTCAGATCTTGGTGCCCTATTTAAGGATCTTATTCTCCTCCCATCAGCCTCATTTTTAGCCCCCAGATCCAAAACCTTATATCTGGAAAACCTAGTGCATCCTTGAGCTTGTGAGCTTGTTTTTTTAGGGTTTTGTGTGTTCTTGAAGACTAGAAGAAGAAGAAGGGCCTAGAAGGTTTAGGGAGAAGATTGTAGATCCAACAACACCATCTCATTTCCACCATTTTCTGGTAATCAAATCTTTAACTTGGCTTATGGTTTTCTAGATATCTTTATATCCATTTTATGAGGATTTTGATCCATGAAGTTTGATCTATGGGATTTAGACATCGCAAGTAAATATCCTTTCAGATCTGGAGTCTCTAAGGGTGGATAAGGCATAAAGGTGAAAACTTTATGTAATTGGAAACCCCCATGCAAGATTTAAGAAGTTGTTATGGTCTTTTGAGCCTAGAAGGCCATGAATGGATGAAAAGGCAGAGAATTTACGTGATTAACTGATATTAGGCCCTAGATCTTGGTCCTCCTGCTTTGGTTTGGAGTAATAAGAATATTTGGACAAGGATTTGTGTCCTAAGGATCTAGGGTTTGAGTTTAACCCATTAAGCAGGATTAGGAGTGGGTAAAGTAGAAAACTTTAACCTTAAGAAGTCATTTCCAGCGTGTAGATGAAGTTTGGGGTTTAGGTCTGAAGTGTAGGGGCTTAATCTATTATGATGGCTCAATCACACTAAGGGACTATAAGAGTCGAAGAGAGTTGTCCCCCTTTTGTTCATGCGAGAACTTAATGAGTCTGAGGACTGACTCAACGAGTTGACATGATAAATCGCGACCACGAGTAGCCAGGGAACTTTGCAAGTCAGGGGCTGACTCGACGAGCTGGATCGCGGTTTCAGGTTTCTGTGTTTTAGAACTCAATGAGTTGATAGAGCAACTCGGCAAGTTGAGTCAACTCGGAGAGTTGACTTCGACCATTGACTTTGACTTTGACCAGGGGTAAAATGGTTATTTTACCCTAAGAAGGATTATCGGTTCTTGACTATGTATTCTGTTGGTAATGATAGCTCGGGGAGTTGAGTGGTCATCAGTTCGAGGATCTGCCACCTAACAGTGAGAGGATTATCAACAGGATTCTGTAGTCAACAAGTGAGGTGAGTTTTCTCTAGTAGGAACGGGTCAAAGGCACCAACTTCGGCCCATTCATGTATGTTAGTGTATACTAGATTAAGATCTGATGCATGGGTTAGACCGATGTAGTTTATGTGATATGTGTTCCTGACTTCGGTTCGATGCCGAGGTAAGCCTGAAGAAGGTCTAAGCTTTCCGGACTTCAGGCCTTTGCCGGGCGGGGCCCTAGGAAGGAATGCATGTCTAGTTATACTTGTTGTCTTTGTGATACTTGTATAGTAGTAGAATAGGAGCAGGGCCCAGGATAGACGAGGCCTTGAGACTAGCAGTTATAACATCGTGTTGATTGTTGTACTAGAATGATTATGATTATGTGTTTGTATGTGTATAGCGGGCGGGGCCTAGAGATAGATGGGGCCTAGTAGAAACATATATGTATACCGAATAGGGATTGATGCCAGGCGGGGCCCAATGCGGAGCAAGTCCGATGTTTGGCAAGTCTCGATGCAGCAGGCGGGGGCCTAGTATATGTGATTAGGTGTATGGTATGTGGTGGTTTGGAGAGACTCACTAAGCTTCATGCTTACAGTTTTTAGTTTTTATTTCAGGTACTTCCGGTAGTAGAGGGAAGAGCTCGGGATGATCACATTGCACACACCAAATCGTTTTAGGCTGGGATGATTATACTCTAATATATTTTGACAGATGTTATGATATTTTGAACTACATGACTTATGGTTTCATATAATGTTTGGATTACTATGATTTTATTAATGATTTAAATGAAATCTTTGGTCCTTATGTTTGGGATGTTACATCACTTGACATAGTCGACAAAATCTTCGATTCCTGAGTTTGCGAACTGCTTTGGGATGTCATTAGAGAACACCATATTGTTTGCTTGAACGATAATGGAAGAATCAGGGGTATGAGGTCCTTTGACGACATTAGCGCTAGGCACAAACTTGTATAGAGATTTTTTCAGGGTGAAATATTGAGGAAGATGATGGTTGAGAGAGCCTTTTTGGTACAGAAGAAGCCAACTGCTTGGAATGCTTGTAAAGGTGACCTAAGAGGGAGTATTCCCAATTTATACCAAAAAATTTCTTCCTTTTTACGCAATCATGATTAAAGAGATATGCGCCGTAAAAATCTCTTGTCCCAAGATATTTGAAAGACCCCAACTTTCGTATTTTTGAAAGACCCAAACTTTCATACTTCACAATATCATTACTCCAAAACGTGCTACTTGCATATTCATAAAAGCAATATTTTACATTGATAAAGGGATTACAAACTAATGGATACAAACCGTCTATTACAAAGTGTTATATATTACATAACTACCCATGATATTGTAATTTATACAAACATAAATTGAAGTACAAAAGTACTATTACAAATTATTCTAAATCTTTCAACAATATGTGAACATACTAGTTACTTATCACCTACAATTGTTAAAAATTAATAGGGTAAACGGTGATGCTTAGTGAGTTCAATAATAGATACAATATAATGTTATGCCATATATATACTTCAATGTGGCAAAAGCAAAGAAGAGTAACAAGATATATGTGAGATCATGTGACAAGCATTCATATCAATCAAAGACTTTATTCAAAGATATACTTTTCAATTCTTGATATACATCAATAAAACTTTGGCCCAAATGGCATAGAAGACATGCAATTTCTGATTAACATCTTGTTAGATTTTAGGCTTCTAGTCCTGTCTAACCATTTGCCAATGCCATAGAATAGAAGTCATTCTCTTACGGAGACATGTTCTACATGGACAGAGGCTACTTACCAGTACCAATGTGAATCTAAGTCCTTTCACTGATCACATGGTCAATGGTATTACAATTGCTATAAACATAGCAAATAAAATAACACAGGAAAATAACTCAGAATAATAACCCTGAAAAGCACATAGCACATATAACACATAACATACAACTGTTCCTATATATTGAACTCACCTTAAGTTAACCAGGGTTAAAATAGTAATTTGGACAACATTTCGGCTTTAAATATGACTTTTTATGTTGAAAACTGGGAGCTTAAATGAAAATCAGGCTCTGCGAAGGTAGGGCTTCAAATCAAAAAGATAAAATTTTCGGGCTTCTCTGGGGTCTCGGAGCGTGTTTCGGGTGCTAAAATTGATACCGGGGCTTCGGGGAAAGTCAAAATAGTGAAAATACGGATTTAGGGGTGAAAAATGGCAAATTCTCAAAATTACCCGGGAATGCTCACAGGCCTCCTATTTATAAGCGAGTGGGTTCGGACCTTGTGGCTGAGAAGGATCCACATCGCAACTGAGAGGCTCGGTCCGGAGGGGGGTGACGAAGTAGATGCGAAGCAGCTCGGTGGCAGCAGCTACGAAGGGCACGCGGCAGGAGAAGCGAAGGCCACGAGGCCGCTGCGAGGCTCAGACGTGGAAGCGACGAAGCAGCTCGGTGGCATCAGCCGCGAGGGACACACAAGGAGGAAACGTCTCCGGTTCGTACACGTGGCGCTGCAAGGTGAGGCCACGACTCCGGTGACGCACGAGCTTCGTGCGAGGTGACGTG